GGAGGTAGAAGCACTGAGGTGAGTCCTAGGTTTCTGGCTTGTATAATTAAGTGGATGTGGTGCCAGTCATCCAAAGAGAGTGATGGGTGAAGTCTGGATTGGGTCGTGAGAACCAGGCCAGCCTGAGGCATGTTAACTTTGAGGTGCCCTGCATGTGACACCCAAATGGGATGCCAAGCAGGCAAGGGCAAACAAGAGACTGTAGTTAGAGGAGAGGTGTGGCTGGCGATAACCATTTTCGAGTCATCCGTTGGTAGAAATTTAAGCCTCGTTATTCATGTAGGGTGGGAAGAAGAAAAGGTTTACTATCAGGATATGGGGAGCCAGTACTCTAGGTTAAGAAGAGGTTGGGATTGTGAAGGAAACCCCAAATTCCAGAGACGTTAACAATGGGTGTGACTGCTGTGAGATAATTTTACTTTTATAGCTATTTTTATAGTTGGGTGGAAATGTTTAGTTAAGGAAGAAAAAGAATCACTTCTTATGGCTCCTTGACCTTAATTAATTTTCTAGATTCTGAAAAACTGCCTGAAGGCAAGAGGTGATGTTCAAAATATTTAACTAGCAGGACTTCCAGGTACCAGCCCTTGGACAGGCATCTATCAGAGGGGGGCTCCAGCTGTGCCAAGCTTGAACCCGGTGGTGCTGGACCATGAAGAAGCACAGAGGGGCTGGACAGCAACTGCTCCTGTGTTTTTTGTGATTGAGAAGAAGTGGTACCTGTTGCTGAGCACCAGCCCTGCCCAAAGCCCCTCAACAGCCAAATGCCACTACCTCCTTCCGCCACTACTTCCTGCCTGTGGTTTCCTCTTAGACTCTTTTCTCTACTGCTATGGTGTATTCATAGTTTCTTGAGAACACCTTGTCTTTTCATCCTCCACAGTCTTCCCAGTGCCTAGAGTCCCCTTCTCCTCTTTGCTTTGTACATTCTGTGCATCTTTAAAGGCCCAAGCAAAATAGCACTGCCTCTAAGCCAGGCATGGTGGTGCACACCTGTGATCCCAGCACTCGGGAGGCTGAAGCAGGAAGATTACCATGAGTTCAAGGCCAGCCTGAACTACATAATGAGAACCTGTCTCAAAAAAAGAAAATTGTTGAATGACTCAATGTGACTGTAAGCTTAAAAGGGAACATAGACCATCCTTGGCTCCAGTTTGCTATTTAAAGCTCAGCGGTGCAATGTGCTGCCTCATGGATGAAAGTTAAAAACATGAAAGAGGCAGTCACAGATGGCTACGTATTGTGTAATTCCATTTACAGGAAGTGTCCAGGATGGCCAAAGCTGTAGAGACAGGAAGCATATCAGTGACTGATCAGTCACTCATAAGGTCGGGGTTTATTGGTGAGGGGAGGAAAATGTCCTAAAATTGGGGCTGGGGTGTGGCTCAGTCATAGAGCACTTGCCCATCATGCACAAGACCCTTCTTCAGTCCCTAGGACGGCAAAAGAAAAAAATTCTAAAATTGATTGTAATGTTACCCAACTCTGAATGTACTGAAAATCATCAACTTATGTACTTTATTTATTTATTTATTTATTTATTTATTTATTTGAGGTACTGGGCATTGAACCTGAATCAGGGCCTTCACACTGGGCTACATACTTGACCCTTTTTAAAAATACTTTTATTTTGAGGTGGGGTTTTACTATGTAGTTCAGGGTGATCTCAAACTCTCAGCGACCCCCCTGCCTCACCCTCCTGAGTGCTGGGTGTATACCACCATGCCCAGTTTTAAATTTTATTTTATTTGTATTTCTATTTTGAGACAGAATCTTGCTAAGATGCAAAGTTGCCCAGGCTGGACTCAAATTGGTGATCTCCCTGCATCAGCTTCCCAAAGCACTGGGACCACAGGTAGGCGGCACCATGACTGGCCAGGTTGCATATTTTAAGTGGGCAAATTATATATCAGTAGTGTTATTTGAAAAAGCACCTCAGCAACTCCTCCCACTGTCCGGCTCAAAGCGCAGCTCAGGTGCCCTGTGGGAGAAGGCAGACTCCACGGGAATGAGCTCGAGGGATGTGCTGGGGTGTGGCCCTTGTAGGGAACAGGCTTGGGAAAGGCACTGCATGAGTGGAAATCCACTTGAGTCCTGGTAAGAGTGGATCACAGGATATTTCAGAAGGACAGACTGGTGAAAATGGAAACCACTTCAATGAAATCAAATTTCAGCAGCAGAGGCCAAGGAGAGCTGAGGAAGATGAAGTTGTACTTTGAAACTGGTACACGCCTGTGCTCTCCTCCTATGGCCCGGGCATACTTTAGGAGAGAATTACTATACAGGAGAGGGTTGGAATTCCCACCCACTGTGCCCAGAAGCTGAGGATCCCTGAAGAACAGCCCAGAAGAAAGGCTGCTCTTCATTCCCCATTGGACCTGGCTGGCCTGTCACAGTGCTGGATGTGCACTTGAGCCCATGCCTGGGTTTGAACCCTGGCTCTTAGCACTTGCAGCTGCACTGGCTCGTCTGGGCCCCTCAATCCCTCTGTGCTTTCATTTTCTCTACCATAAAATGGTGGCACACACCTGTAATCCCAGCATTCAGGAGGCTGAGGCAGGAGGATCGCCACAAGTTGAGGCCAGGCTGGGCTACATAGCAAGTGCAAGGACAGCCTAATCTACAAACCCGAGTGAGGTTTGGGAGGTTCAGGGAAAGACAACAGCTGGCTGGGAAACAGCCTTATTGCTCAACCTGCCCGTGGGGCACAGACTCCCTGTTTGCAGTGTCTGGGAGCTCTGATGCTGGAGATGTTCAAGTCTGAACAGGATCTTTCTTGGCCCCTGGGGGGAAATGAAGAAGCTGGGCAGCAACTCAGCGTGGGCTGGGCCCCTGAGCTTCAAATCATGAAGTTTTCTTTCCTACAGTGCCTATTCCTACCAGACAGTGCAATCCTGGGATGGGAGAGAGGAGGAGTTCCCATTCAATTCCATGCAGATTTACTCAGTTTTGTAACAGATGCTGTTTGGGTGCTTTGGTCAGGTGCTAGGTTGGTGCTAAAAGATTTAGGACTCCTTAAGCCCCCTGACTCTCAAATCCATGCTCCAGCTGCTTCAGGACACCATGTGAAATGATATGCAACACTATGGGGATTAAAGGCCCATACTCACCAGGCCTGGTGACACATGCCTGTAATCTCAGTTCTTGGAGGCTGAGGCAGGAGAGTCATGAGTTAGAACCCAGCCTGAGCTATGTAGCCAGACCCAGTCTCCAAACACCAAAAACAAAAAAGAAAAGAAAATTCAATATTCTTGGTTCTTTATTTCCAGAGAGGCTCTGAACACCCAGATGTTGTACCCCCAAGACCCCTATCAGAAAGCTAACTATTCATGCTGAGAACTCATGCTGGCCATGTCCTGAGTTTCCCAGGACCTTCATCTGTTCCAAGCAATTGTCCCTAAAGGTGCCCAGTCAGTGGTGCATATCAGAAACACCTAGGGAGCTTTCCCAACATCACGAGTCCTGGCACCAGCCCCGACCTGACTCAATATCAAAAGGTGGGGCAGAGGTTTGTGTATATTTTTAAAAGATTCTCAGGTGACTCGGCTAAGAAATGCTGCCAACACCCATTAACACGACTGGGAAATTCCAGTAATTTGGCATCCATTCTATCCCCCAGCCTGCCTTCTGCACCCCAGTTCTTCAGCACTTGCTATTTGATTAAAAATATATAGGCTTCCCCATTAGGATGTCAGCCAGCATCCTGAGCCCCCTGATCTTCGGGATAGCAATGGATGGTACATTAATACAAGAAAACTCAGTGCCAGCCCCACATGCAGATAGTGGGAAGTTGTTTTCTGTTCCATGAATCCCACAGACTCAGACTAGGGTTTGGGATCAGCACTTTTCATTTACGCAAGTGCTCTTCTTGGTTGAGGTCAGCCCAGAGATTGTGGGGTATAGAGTGTGGTACAGTTGATCCTAAAGAGGACCCCTGTGTACAGTTGTTTAAGACATGTACTGCACAAAGGTATCAGGCTGAGGAAAAAACTGGGAGCTAAAACTCCCTGCACACCACTTACCAAGCTCTGAGCCCCTGGATCAGGGCACCTTTTTGTGCTATGGAAGCCCTGCCCTACAACTCTCCTAGCTTCACTTTCCAAAGCCACATTAAGCCCAAGGATGCTGCATTAGCCCAATGAGAAAACTCAACATAACCCCACATGCGAAGGAAGATCAATGTTTTCTATTCCCTGGATGCCACGAGTTCACACTGGTGCTTTGCATCAGCAGTTTCCACTCATGCAAGTGTTCTTTTTGGTTGGAGTCAGCCCAAGGATCGTCGGCCCTAAACTCCACAAGAAACGTAAGCATGCGTGTCACTGCCATCATTTGCTTCTACTTTTTCTTTCTTTTATTTATTTATTTATTTATTTTTTTCGTTTCTTGAGACAGGGTCTCACTGTGCAGTTCAGGCTAGTCTTGAGCTCACTATGTAGCCCAGGCTGGCCTCGTACTCAACAGCAATCCTCCTGCCTCAGCCTCCTGAGTGCTGGGATCACAGGCGTGCACTTCCACACCTGGATCATTTGCTTCTTTTTATACTCCCCCCTCCCTTCCCTACAAACACCAGGGAGAGACCAAAATCTTCAGAAAAAAAATCACATTTTATTGATCATCTTTATTCAGAATTATAAAAATAGATATAAATAAAAATCACAGAATATAATTATTAAATATTCAGTATATACAGGAGTGGCCCTCACCTCATCCAGTGAGGATTGGATAACTAGGCAGAAAGGTCAGAAGGGGGCATCTGTGTGAAAGTGAAACAGACGCTTAGCACAGGGCAGGAACTGTGCCCGAGTGATACATTCACGGGCCCATCCCGTGGGCGACACAAGGGGCCCCGTGTTGACCCACAAGCTCTCGGGGCAGACTGCTCTGGGTGGCATCGCAAACCATAGCACAGGGAAACAACCAGACCTACAGTGGGCCGACGCCTGCCCTGGCGGCCGGGGCAGAGTCTCCACCGTACGCACAGATTTCCAGATCTGTTCTTGGGATGCCAGAGCTCTTCCCTCAGCCCGTTAGCGTCTCTGTTCCCCAAACTGCTTCCCCCTTGGCCAAACTCCTCCAGAGACCTCCGCTGTCACACTCCCTAGTTGGGAAGTGACTCATTTCCCAGCTTGCCTCCAGGGTGGCCCCTATGGGGCGCTAGTTCTCCTCCCACAATGCACAGAGGCACCAGGGCAGGATTTAGTCCAGAAAAAGTCAGTGACTGGTCAGTGTGACGCTAAGTCAGGACCACCTCTTCAGCCTGGCCAGGGGGAGTCTGGGCGGCCAGCACCCAGCTCGTATCTGAGGGAAACTATTGGCCTGGTGGGCATCGCAAGCCAAGCCACCCCTGCAGAGCCCATCTCTCCAGTCTTTTCCTTCAGCGGATGGAAACAACCCGCCTGCGGAATTGGAGGTCAGCATGGAAACGGATGGAAGGCTGTTTCTTTCCTCCCTTGGCTCCCTAGAGGTCCTAGAGGCCAAGGCCATTGTCCTCCCTAGTGTGGAAGTGGATCCAGGGCAGGAACCTGGAGACCCTAGTGTAGACGCCTGGCTTGTCCTTCAAGGCACATCCGCGGCCCCAGCTCACAATCCCGGTCAGAGTGAGACGGTAGTTCCCAGTCTGGGGATCTTGGATGGAGCAGACCAAGGGCCCTCCGGAGTCTCCCTGGGAAGCCAGAGACACTGGTAGTGAGCCTGGGGAGAAGGAATCCCACCTCCAACCAGCAGGGAGAGGTCTCCTGGAGTGGAACTGTCCCAGAGCCTTCCGACTCTCCTTTTCCTGCCACACCAGTTTAAATTCCTCCGCTGGGTTTTGAAACCCCTGTCACCCCGCACCATGCTACCTGTGCTGCCAGACCTTAATTCTCCTCACCCTGGAATATGGTACGCTCGGTTTCCATTTTAACCAAAAATTCTCCTGTCTTCTGCATCCCTATCAATTCACTTTCTCTTTAAAGCTACCCCTCCTGTCCTAAACACTAACCTTTTCGGGCCGGGGATTTAGCTCAGTGGTGCCGCCACCTGCCTCGAAAGCACAAGGTCCTAAATTCGATCCCTATTCCAAAACACTTATCTTTTTTTTTTTTTTTGGTACCAGGGATGAAACTCAGGATCTTGTGCTTGCCAGGCAGGTGCTGTGCATCTGAGCTACATCCCTGGCCTGAACATTAACCTTTTCCAACTCACCCTGCATCCTAAGCACTAAGATAGGTCTACTGTTCCCTTTTTTCTTATGGTTATGCTCTTTTCTTTTGTTTGTTTGTTTTTGTTTTTTGAGACAGGGTCTTGCTATGTAGTTCAGACTGGCCCTGAACTAACTATGTAGCCCCAGCTGGGCTTGAGCAATCCTCCTGCCTCAGCCTCCTGAGTGCTAGGATTATAGTCATGGGCCACCACACTGGCTTCTTCTGGTCTTAATAAATCACCCCCTCAAGTCTGAAATGCCTAACACAGACTAAGATCATGTCAAATATTTGGGGAACATATAAGGGTGGCTTTAAGCCTCCAAGAGACCTGGCTTCTTCAAGCTTTGGCTGGAGAGAGGTTCCTTGATGCGGGCAGAGTCAGGCCCACAAGCTTCAGGGAGGTGTGGGGGTGACAGAGAGTTGCCTGGGACTCTTACCTGGCAGGAATCTGTCTCCCACTGTGGGTCAGCAGCACACAGCATGTCGGTGGTAACTTCCGAGCCATAGTAGTGGGGCTGCTGACACTCCTTGTAGGAAACCAACTTCACAACAGTCATTTTCAGGTGTTCTGGGTAGAGATAGTCAGCTAGATGAAAGAAAATGTGAGGAGTTTGCATTAAGATTTGTCTGTCATGGGTCGGGGATTTAGCTCAGTGGTTCCGCCGCCTGCCTCCCAAGCACAATGTCCCGAGTTCGATCCCCAGTACCAAAAAAAAAAACAAACCAAAAAGCAAGATTTGTCTGTCTACTGGGACTCTGCGAGGGAGGGGAACCAAAAAGAAACAACAAAAAAAGTTGCTACTCGGGACTTTTCGACCCTTATTCATTTTCCACCTGAACCGGATGGAGCCTTTACCCCATCCATACCCACTCACTTCCTACTATTTACCTCTGAGGCCCATCACTCCCTACACAGTGCTCGCCTCCCCATCTCTGGGCCCATCTGGCACCCCCAAAGTGCTCCCATCTGTCCCCACAGTGGATCACACTGCACTCATTTCCAGGTCACCGTCCTCCCCTAGTGGTCTCCCTCGGTCAGCCCCAAATGTCACTTACCAAAATTCTCTTTCCCAAAGCCTGTGATCTCACAGCTTGCGCCAAAGGGGGCACCATTGTTCTTGGGGGGCAGGCAGATGGTCTGTATGGACCGGGACGGCTGTGCACACTGGCCGCTGCTGGAGCGGATCTTCAGCAAGGCTGGGGGAGAGAGAGGTGGTCAGAGGGGAAGGACCACACCCGGTCCCGGTGGCCATCATCTCTCTCCTGAGTGCTGAGGGAGTGGCTGTGTCCATCCCTGGATCAGTCAGGGTCATAGGTCATCCAGGGAGGTCTGGGGGTAACTTGTCACCTGGAAGCCTCCCCTGCCCCATGCTCCAAAGCCTTTGTTCCAGCTGCTGACAAAGACTTAGGCAGCTGGGGCTGCCATATAGTGTACAACTGCACAGTTTATTTCTTGTTGAGGAAGCTGAGCCTAAACAGGGTGTGGTGGTGACGCCTGTGATCCCAGCACTTGGCAGGCTGAGGCAGGAGGATCGCTGAGAGCTTGATGCCAGCCTGGGCTACAGAGTGAATTTAAGGCCACCCTGAACTACAAAGCAAGACCCTGTCTCAAAAAAACCAAGATAAAATGAAAAATAAAATCCAGCTCAAGGCTCTACTCTCCAAATTCTAAATCTTGGTATAGCCAGAAGCTGCACTCATCCCCAAATAGGCCATGCCCAGCGCAAACCATATGCCCATGAGCTGTTTCCTCTCAGAAGCAGCTACCTGTTTGGGAAAGTGGTGGTTTCTACAGAGCAACATCACATATATTTTACTCTTAACTCATCCCCCATAGTCCCTTTGCTGAGTAAGGCAGAGGCTTCATGTCCCCCACCACTTCAACCTCCACTGGGGCCTCTCCCTGGACCCCTTGGCCCAGCCACCATCAGCCTCGCTCACCAATGTCATTGTGGTGCGCCAGGTTTTCGGCGCTGTAGTTCTCATGCAGGATCAGCTGCTCAACTTCAAACTTTACCTCCTCAGGAGTATCGGAGTTAAGCTTTGACCGGCCCAGGTAGACAATGTAGTCCTCCTTCTCTGGGTTTTCACTGTGGGAGAGGAGACCTGTCAGCCTGATCATGCGAAATCCTGCTATCTCCCTTCTCCCACCACAGAGACCTCAAAGCATGACTTGTCCCCAAGGTCATGGGCCAATGGAGAGATGCTGAGGGGGACAATCAAGGTGGGGTCCTCTGCAGGGAAAGAGATGGGGTGTGCTTGGGCAGGGGGAGGAACATCACAGAGAAGGGACTGGACCAAGGGCACGTACATGAAGCAGTGGGTGGCACTAACAACCCAGCAAGGGCTGATGAGGCTGCCACCGCACATGTAGGAGGCAGAGTCTCCCCGGTTCTTCCTGTAAATGGCTGCAAACCAGGGCTGGTTCTCGATGGTGGTGAACTCTCCACCTATGATCTTAAAGCGGGGCTTCACAGCCTTCTGGCCACACTGGAACTCTTCCTGTTTGGGAGAAGAGGGCTTTCTTCCTAGAGGAGCAAGAAAGGGGTGTCTTGGGTGGCAAGAAGGATACAGTATCCCGCTGGGGCAGGCCTCCCTTCTCATCTCTCTGGTGATGGAAGACTGCAGCATTGTGAACGTGTCCCCTTCCACTCCACTGTCATAAGCAATCAGTGACACTCACCAAGAGCGCAGTCGTGCACCATGCACTCTTGCACGAACTGCTTTAGACCAATCTGCACGTAGCACCAGGGCCGCCTCCGGTTGTCTGGGTTCCTGCAACATGAAGGACAACGATGTCATTCTGGCCCAGAACACCCCGCCTGCATTCTCCCCTCCAGAAAGACAAGCAAAGGCCTGGCCAGCGCTCCGGGAACAGAAGTGGATGGCAGCCAAGGTTTCAGAGAGGCCGTGGGAGGACCTCCCCGCCTCACCGGCAGTAATTGTGTTTCCCCAGGCCAAGGTGGACAGCATCAGATCTGTAGGCGTGGAACTTTTGCTGAAGGACAGCGGCAGAGTTCCAGCCCAGGCAGGGCCGTCCTTTGCTGTCAGTGTTGGCCTTTCCTCGGTAAGAGTGACCATTCCCCTCGTAGCAGGTTTTCCATGCATCTGTGAAGGACATCAGAGGAGATCAGAGAGAAGAGATAACCTGGTTTCCAACCTGGCAAATGACTCTGGAAGAGTCTTCCACCCCCACCATTTTTTTTTTTTTTTTTTTTGTAAGGACAGGACTCACTATGTAGCCCAGGCTGGCCTCAAAATCATGGCAATTCTCCTGGCTCAGTCTCCGGAGTGCTGGGATTACAGACGTGCGGCACCACAATTTCTGCCTGCTCTCGAATCCCACCCACCTCTCTCTGACTTGAAATCTCTGGGGCTGCTCCTTCCCAGCTAGTCTGCACCCTCTTACCTATCTCACAGTGCTCCCCCTGGAATCTCTTCGGGCAGTTGCATCGTCGGATGCCGGAGAAGTACTTGTAGGTCACACAACTCCCTCCGTTCAGACAGCCACACTTTTCTGGGGGAGACAAAGGTGGAGTAAGCACCACGTGGAAGGAGGCAAGGAGGCAAGGAGGCAAGGCAGCCCTGCAGAAGGGCCAGGGAGGGGCTCCCCCTAAGGCTTTCCAAGATGTCTGTGCAGCCAGCTATTTCGAAAGGGGCAATGCTCACCTGCATCTGTCGCTCCAACTTCCTGCCTGCCCTGCAAGAGATCGGGGAAGGGGGCTGTCACCAGATTTCCCTGGTGGCACCCCGCAGTGAGGATTAATTGGCCTCAGTCCACCCCACCCCCACGCCCCAGATCCCTCAGTCTTCACCCTGTTCGTGTCTAACCACTCGTCGAAAGGAAAACCAGAGGTTTTCAGCCGGGAGACAGGGATTGACTCAAGCGTCGGCCTCCAGCCAAGGCCGTCTCCCTGCGGCTTACAACCCTCTTGGTTCTCGACGCCCCAGGGCCCACCCTTGCTCTACTCCCCGGGAGAGCCTGCCGCTGCGGCTGCTGCTGCTGCTGGGATCTCGAGAACTCCAGCTCCCCAGTGCACCTCTCCCTTCCCGGGGCGCGGTCCAGGGGTCCCCCAAGCCCCCGCCTGCGACAGGCAAAGCAGGGAGACCACTCACTTGGGAGTCGCTCAGGACCACGGCGCAGAGGAACAGGAACGCCAGCAAGATGCTCATGATGGCGGGGCCGGGGCTCGGGCCACGGCTCTGCAAGGCAAGGAAGGAGAAGTCAAGGCCAGCCGCGGAGGCGCGGGTGACTGCGGCTTGGCTCGGGGAGAAGCACAGGTCCCCTGCGGGGCTCCGGCCAGACCGCGCCTCCCTTGGGGCCTCCGGGCTCCCGGCGCAGCCTGGCCTGGCATCCTCCGGGTCACCCGGGACCCGAGCGGCGGCCGGGCCCGCAGCCTGGGACGGAAAGGGAGGCGCGCGGGAGCCGCACTCACCGGCGGCTGCTGCGGCACAGGGCGCGGGGCTCTGCGGGGCAAAGGCCAGGGGACTCTGGGGGGCGAAGGGCAGGGAACGCTGCAGGGCAGGTAGACACTGCGCCGGATAAGAGCTCTAGTCTGGCGCTGTGCTGCACCAGGCGCCTGGCTATATAAGAGGGCTCGCCCCGCCCCGGCCCCTCCCCTCCGCGCCGCGGTCCCCCTTTTCCTTCCCCGTGCCGGAATCTGTACCCCGCAGGAAAGAGCGCGCCCGCGGTGTGTGTGTGTGTGTGTGTGTGTGTGTGTGTGTGTGTGTGTGTGTGTGTGTGTGTG